GCTTTCCTGTGCAAGAGTGGAGATTGTCAATTTTCTGGCATTTCAAAACTGTTTCTTCTCTACTGGGAGCGATGACTGAAGGCAGCAGCTAAAGTCTATGAAAATGCAAACTGACCTGCAAATACTCGTCAGCAACCAGGCAGTTCCCAGCCTTAGAAGTGAGCACATTAAAGGAGGAGGAATTCCCCTTTATCCAGGGCAAGGACACAGGTCCCTGCTCATGAGGATCAAGCCCATCAGCGTCGTTAAATTCTGATGTCAAATGTGACTTTTAAGACATGACTCACTGAGTCCACATGTCTGCGGAGAAACTCAGGGGAATTAGTTTTTTCTGGTTTTCTTTTATACCACTGCTAATTATTTTTTTTCAAGCAATGACACCAAATAACATGTTTGAAGCCAATGAGATCTTTTGATGAACCCTTTCTTTTGTTTTCTGTATCCCCATAACTCCTGAGCTCCTGGCTCCTGCGTCTGAGATTCAAGCAAAAGTGCAGAAGGTGTGTTTTGACATGATTGATTAACACAAGTCCTTTTACATCTAACCATTACATTAGATACATGTTCATTTTGCAAAACATTGCTATGTAATCTTATTATCTTGCTGCTTTTCCAAAAAATCTCAACTTGGAATGCATGGTAGAATTTCATCCGATCACCTGTTTAATGGCATCACTTGAGAGCACGGGAATGTTTCTCAGTGTGCTTCTGGGACTGAACAGTTTGTCTATAATATATCAGCTCTTTAGCTCATTCTTGCAGTAATCTTGACCTCGTAATGCTCCGATTTTGGGGTAGCTTCAAGCTTCACAGCCCAGGCCCCTCCGTACTGAGCCGTGTGTTTGTGCAGATACACCTCTCATATGTATTCACAAGACTGCACAAGTGTCGTCAAGTGTTTTCCGCAGGAAACCTGTTTAATTGTCAGTGGCTCACATGCTGTTGCCCGCTAAAAACACGGATTTCCTGTCAAATATCTATTGCGTTTTTAAAGCCTGAATATTGAGCCAGATTCTTGGCACGGCTCATACATGATACTGGTTCTCATGTGAAGATGCTGGCCGCAGATAATCCCCTTCTGGGTAAGAAATTCCAGAGCACGCGGTGCAGGAAAGGTCAAACTCATTTGCAGGGAGTTGTGTTTAACTGTGCAATGCAGAAGTGAGCTTCATTACTTGTAATTAATCCTCAAGGTTCCTGAATGTCAGTTTACAGAGGCAGCCATGAAGGTAGTCCATGGAAGATAATTAATATTTGTTATTCCTGACTTTGAAAAAACTCTGGATTACAAAGTTTATAAGTCCTTTTTACTGGGAGAGCCTTATGAGGAAATTCCCTGATTAAATCATCAGTACTGTTGTCTCTGCCTTAAACTGTTGGTTTACTGTAATTACTACTCTTTTACAACAAAAGGGCATGGGGTGATACAGTGGAAGACGCATCCTAATATTCTGACACATTGGCAGGTTTTCACAGTTCCAGAGAAAAATGTCCTTCGGGGAAAGGTTAATGCAGTTATCGGGCAGGTTAATGCTCTGTCGTTCCCGGAGGGCTTTTCATTGATATGGGCAGGGGGCTTCCTCTATAGTATTTTTATCTCAAAACTATTAGGCTGTTCAAAGAGATTGAATGAAATCTAAAAATACATACATTTTATTAACAGCACAAATTCCTCTCAGAAAATATAGGCCAAATTCTCCACAGTCGTCATCATAAAGGTGGAACAGCTAATTGTAGCTGAAAGCAGAAGATATTCTCAATTCTCTCAATTGCACCTTGGATTCAGGTTAGGTTTTGGCTCCCTATTTGCATGGGGGCCTCTGCATACAATTTTACCATTCTTTATCGGTATTGTAGACTGGACTGAAAGTAGGTTAAAGAAGATGCGATATCAAACTGAAGACATAATCTTATTTTGTGTTTTGATGTTGATGTGAAGCATTTTTCAATTATTTCATGTAAACACAGCAGCTTAAAAATATTCACAAGAACTGATTTTTGTGCAATTTTAGGGTTTCCAAACTGAGAGACTGTTTAGTACCTCATACAAAATTTTACCTTCCAGAGTCCAGCTCTTTCGTTTCTTCCTTTCTGCTGTCTCCTGTAGGAGAAACAAATACACAAAAGGCTTCTTTGCATGCTAGAGACATTAGAAAATGTTTCTGGATTAATGTAAATACTTCATGATTTGTCACCAGTTCTTAACATGCAGACTTTTCTGGGTTTGAATCACAACTTTCTCTCATTAGAGTGACTCTAAGTCACTGTGGAAAAGGGGAAAAGGAGTTAGTGAGTTTTGGGAAAACACTTCTGTTAATGAAAGGGCTTTTTGAATATGAAATAGCCTATTTGATATAATGCTGCTATTTTATATTGTATTGGTTTATGAACTAGGGTCAAACTTCGCAGCTGTGAATTAGAAACTTAACTGCCTGGATTTTAGTGCGATCTTTCTGGCAAGTGTTCAGTGATCCAGTGAAAAAATTTAATCTTTTTTCTTCTTCACTGATTTGGCCATCATAAGCAATGTTATTAGTTGTAGACTCTAAAGTAGCAGCTCTCTGACTTTTGCAACCTAGTACTCACATTGTCTAAAGTGCTGCATTTGCCACCTTCGTGGTACTAATTAGTATGTTTATAATGAGCCTCCACTCCAATACTGTAATCCTCATCAGTCTACACACCTGACAGCAGCTTGTGTATCTCAGCGGCAAACACAAAGTGCAGGAGCTGTATTCTCTGCTCTATGGAAATCAGTTATGAAAATCCACCTCTCTAATGCTATCCCAAACGTATCGGTGCTTTATCACTTTCTTTATGGATAATACAAACATTATGGGCTACAAACATTGGAGAGTTTTTATGCAGAGGTTCTAAGAAGCAAGGAATAATAATTTTGAGCAATCTAAGAAAGAAAGGGATAGATGGGATTTTTAATGTATGTATTCCTAAAAGCAAGCGGGTGGTCTCCAGTTGTTTTAAGAAGTAGCATAAATGGAAGGATTCAGTTTTCAATGCTTGCTGTAAAGTTTGTCTTCAGAGTCGTACGTCAGACGTAGGTGGCAGAGGGTGCAGAGTTGTAATTTCTGCAGGGAAGTCATGCCTGTCAGCTTGCAGGAGTCTCTTGTTCACCAAAGCATCAATATACTTTGACACCTCAAAGCTGACAAACCACAACATCGTGCTGCCGCACCGGGGAGATGGCTGGAAAAGGTGCGTGGTACGAAGTGACTGAAAAGCGAAGGAGAAAGAAGAAAAAAGCTTGACGTGCGGTGCGCGGGGGTACTTCCATCCAGCGGTGACATTTGGGGTTTGACGGTCCTCGTTGCAGGATGGGTTGTCTTGCAACGAGCGCGGCATCACCCAGGCGAGGTGGAGCAGGTGGGGGCTGAGGTTTTGGGATGAAGACGCACAGCTGAACTTGGGGGGGGGGTCCCTCTGAGTGCTGACACATGCCGTGGGCTCTGTGCCATGCCGTGCCATGCCCGCTGTGCCAGTGGGCGATGGTGGGACCCGCAGGGATGGCTGGTCCGCTCCCCCTCACCACCAGCCTTCCTCCTCCTCCTCTCCCGCCACCTCTCAGAAGTTTGCTTTCACCGGCTTTGGGGCAGCGACATCAAATAGAAACTTCCCACCTGATTTTTTTCTGCCTAAGGATTTAGAGGCATAGGACCTGAAACTTGTTCTGCTGCAGAGGCTTAAACATTTTTATGCTCGTCCTGCCAGACTGCGGCGAGGCAGGGGGTCCGGATCAGTCCCCCGTGTGTTGCCCTCACTGCTTTTTCTCCCTTTCCTTTCCCCCTCCTGCCACCGCTGGGGTTCGCCCAGCTGCACGAGGGAGCGAAACCAAAGGGAAGTGAATTATATTTCATGTTGGGTTCATTTCAGCTGGGTTAGTTCCCTGATCTAGCTCACTGCACAGCGTCCAAATATTCGTGCTGGCAGGAGCAGACGGGAGAGGAAAGAGCAGCTGCAGGTGGCGAGGAGGGCCAGAGCATCCTCTTCAGCAGTGGCACTGGTTTACACTGGCTTTATGCACCTGCATTCCAGCACGTTAGATAAAACTACCTCGGGAGGTGGGTTTGGCACTAAGACGTTGCACTGAGAACTGGGGTGGCCGAGGCGCGGAGGTTGCAGCCACCCACAGAAGGCTGGCACCATCTTAGCCCACCTCGCCGAACATTGCCAGAGATCACCTTTCTTCCAAAATTTTTTGGAGCAATAGAAGGTGTAGATAAACACTTGTTCTCAAGGATTTTTAAAAGAAGCTCTGCTTGGGAGAAACTTCTCTGAATAAAGTCCTGTCATTTTTCAAATTCTTTTTAGAATTTTCCAAATTCATAATAAAAAGAAAATCTGCAATTTCCCCTAATAATAACTTCTATATATACTTAATACTGGGTTATTATTCATGCTTTTATGTTCTTATACTGTGTGAATTACACTTTACTATGTGTCACCTTTTGTAAGAAATTCTGCTTTTTCTTACATTTTTGTGAAATAATTCACAGTAGTTCTTGAGTTTTATGGTTCCCTGGGGACTTTCTGAGTATTTAAAAGATGAGCATGCTGTCAGCCTCCATACCTCTGCCTTTTTATTTGAAGAAAGTATCGGCGTCTTAATGCCTAAGCTCAGGTATAGGAAGGCATTCACACTAATTTCATACAAAGTTTATGTTAGTGTATATTGGGTATGTAGCAGTAATAACATTTTTCTAGGTAAATAATATGTAAATGGTATTGCTTGCAAAGCACAGACTTTGGGGATGTTTCTTAATGAACGATTACAATACTGAGTTCTTGGGATTTGCTTATTATGATGATTCCTGTCAAAGGCGCGGGGTTTTTCGTTTCGGCATCAGGGATGCTGTGGGCATAACTGGTGTCCCTGAAGCGTGTGCCCGGACCCGGCACTCTGAGATGCGGGGTCCCCCCTAAAACACTCCTCGGTTTTGACCGTGTGCCGGCCCCATCGCTGGTGAACGAGCTCCCAGGGACGCATGGGGGACAGCGGAGGGCTCGCTGCGATCCCGCTGCCCCGTTCCCATCGGAGGGGACGGGGGACCCCGAGGGGAAGGCGCCTGCCGGCCACCTCCCTCCCGTCACTTCAGATGGATGGGGTCTCTTTGCAAGTCCTCCTGCGACCCGCCTGCGGGCTATCTCCTCGCTGGTTTGCGTACGTAGAACGCTCTGGCGGTGACCGTGATGTTAATGGATGTAAAGAGGTCGTTGGCTCGCAAGTGCTCGCCGGCGCGGCATTTTCGGATGCGGGCAGTGCCCCGGTGCCGGTCACCACAACCTCACACCGGGACGATTGGTACCAGAGGCAGCAGAAATGGCCTCGCTCTCCCCGAGCTGTTTTCCTGGAAAAATCTCCTTTCCGCCCACGTCCACCCCGACAGTTTTTCACTGGGTCTCGTGGCTCTTTGCCATGGTCTGTTTCAGATATATCTTGCTGTTTTTTTCATAGGTGAGTTTGAAGCTGCCCTTTTGCTGTGAATCCACTTTACGGACTTAAAAATGATGTCAGCAAAATAAAAAGTCTTCGCGAAGTTTTGCGTTGGCGCTTGCTCTAGGAGCAGCCTTGTTTGAAGCAAACCTACAAAGGGTTTTGCAGAGGTCTGAAGAATGAAAAGTACTTAGTGAATGTTTTCCTCTTTTAAAAAAATTTGTTTTGGCTTGTCATAACTCTGTGACTTGGCCTGAAAACTCCGAATTTATTTGGCTCTGTTGGTCTTGGCTGCGGTGCGTGTCTTCTGCTAATCTTGGAGAGTTAATGAATTAAGTGCAGTTACTTATTAAAGCAGCTGGTGTTGCAGCCGAGGTGCTGGCCTCAGCACACGGTGGGGCAGGGGGAATTGCTGGAATTGCAGGGGCAGGTGTGGTTTTCTCCCCGGAGGCACTAGTAAAAAGTATTGCACCTCTCTACGAATCCTGCCTGTCCCACATCCTTAGACAGTCACAGTTACAACAGAAGTGCTACTACTCAAAAAACAAAATAATAAGCCCTTAATCCACCTGAAAGACTTGCGTTGCGCCTGATGAGATTTCCCAGCAGCGGTGGAGGGCTGGGGGCCGCGGGAGCAGCCGGCGAGTCCTCCCCCCATGCCTTGTTTATCTCTGCTGTAGCCCTCCAAGGCCTTATTATACGGTGCTTGCTTTTTCCTAGGAAATCGATCTTTCGGCGTGATGGTTCAGTCAGCCCTGCCTCTTCAGTGAAGCCTTGAAGAAGTTTGTATTCCTATAAAATGGCAGGTTTTTGGTTTTTTTTTTTAATTTTGAAGTCAGTTGTTTTCACGTCTAGCAACTACACAGCCCCTGCATTGGTGCAGCCCCTCGTTTTTGTTGAAAACAGCAAAGCAAACGAGAAACTCTTTTACCTAGGAAGAGGTCTTGATATGTTAAATACAGCTTTTTAATGTTGAATTCTGCTTTCGAGTCTGAATTTAGACTTGCCGTTAGATGCTTCTATGTCTTTTCCCACTAGGTTAAAACCCGCTTTATGACTGGAAACCTCTTTCCTCTGTAACAACCTGAATGTTGCTAATGAGTCACCTCTGAGCTCTCTTGGGTAAATAAGAAAGGCTTGTGGTATTGTTTCATTTCCTCAATCTCAGATAAATTTTGTAGCATTTTCTTGAATCCAGTCCTGCTCCAATCTGTCAGTATTTTCCCCTGATGGATTGGCGGTCGTCGGGATAGGGCACAATGCTTCCCTGACACCTCTGTCGTAGATCCTCATCCTTTTTTCCTTAGACTTTGCCGGTACACCTGAGATTTTTCAGCTGGCTGCGTGGGTTTAATGTAATTCAGAAGAACCCTCCTTATCAGGCGACTCAGGGCGACTTAAATAATTGACACATCCACAGTCGTGTTTATCCCCCTCCCTCCAATTTTTGCCGTTCTCCAACCATTACCAAAAATCGACTGGTGTTTTCTTTCAGATCATTGATGAAGATACGGAGCAGTTTTGTGTCAGAAACCAGATCCTTGTAGGCTCCATTAAAAAAGCTACTGTCGGATGATGAACCCCATTTATGATTAAAGGGGTTTCATTCATATGTGTGAACTCACTGTCAGCTGCTTTTTAATCGATTTAGCATCGGGTACATTGATTTTGTGTAAGTGCTTTTCAAAAAGTCAGGGTTGCTAGCTGCGTGCATCTGGGTGCCGTACGGAGGTCTGTCCTGGGACCGTAGCTGCCTTCTGCCCGTCAAACTCATGGTTCTGTTGGAAAACAGCAGCAAGTTTGCTTGACCAGACCTGTTTCCTGTAAAACCATGTTGATCAGAGTGAATTATGCCATCACCTTTTCATTAAGAGTATAACTTGGACTGCTGTGTTTAGGAATTGAGGGGAATCTATTTCATTTGTTTTCCGTAATACTTTGGATCCTGAGTCCAGCCTGCAGTTTATATTACATGGGAAATACGATTTACTTGTTTACCACAAGCTTTCATCCATAAATTCGTGAGCGTGTGGAATGATGAGCTGCGATTTGCTGGCCGAGTCACTCCTGAGTGTCTGCCTTTTCTTTATTTCTCAATTCAAGTCCTCCAAAAAAAAAATGACATGACATATTAAGGGTTTTAAACGGGTGTTTGTGTGTGTTCTTTCCCCTTAGTTCTCTCTTCTGTCTTCTCTCTACTAGAGAGCTTGACAGACTGTTTTAGCATTACTGATTGCAATAACACACCAACCAAAATTCATCCATGATTTCAAAAGCTTTAACAAAAGGCGTCCCATCTGGAGCATCTAAAGCTCTCCTATGGTTTGTTTTAGAGTGTGAAAATTGAAACACTCCATTCTGAGAACCCAGAAGTAAAATTGGTTTTGATGTATAATGTACTCAACAGTCATTTTCCAACACATTTGTTTTTTCTTCTCTTTTTTGGGGGGGGGTTAGTGTTATAATTCATAAACAATTGAGGACGCCATTCCATTCCATACAATTTTTGGTTTTGTTACCTTCTTTATGCTGCATTAAACCTTGAATGAAAACAAAATTGACGTGGTGATGATAAGCAGCTCTGGGTTTGATACTGCTCCAGACTTAATTTATTTCACCGATTGAGACATTTATTATTTCCATTTCTTTGTCTAGTTACATGATTACCAATGCCATATTCTATTTAACATGTAATAAAGTGCATTTCTGTCTCGCTTTCCATCCATTTCTCTGGAAGTACTTTCCTGACATTCCCTGCGGACGGAGGAGGCATTGTTATCCTGATCCTAGCACAGGCGAAAATTAGTCATAGATAGGATAGGTATGGGACTCAGCAGCAGGGGAAAGTGGTTCATTACCCTTCCTTTTACCTTACTGTCCAAGTCTGTGACCTAGCCAGAGCACTACAGAAAATCATTGATTCATGTGCGTAGGAGGAGAGAGGAAGAAACAAAAACCATCGCCAGCTAGCAGGTCCAGGGTTTCCAGAGGTTTCAGTCTCATCAGAAAGTTGTTGTGCGTGGTCCGTCGATCTCAGTGGGACCCTTGAGTACCGAGGAGCTGCACAGTGCAGCTCTTAGATCCGACCTGAGACCCTTCCTCACTCGTGCCCGACGATTCGGGGTTCTCGCATCAAGCAGCCTGCAGGCACTGCTATCAGCGTCTGCTCAAGAGTAGGGATCGATGGGTCAGGAGGGCACTGGGGAGCTGGCAAGAACAGACCTCGTCTGTGTCATTAGACAACTTGCATCACTCTCCTGTCAGCTAATTTTTATTATTTTTTTTTTAATGCACAGCAAATATTTAAACAGTTGAATTTTCTGTGGCTTTATTAAGTCCACTGCCCTGTATTTCAACCTGAAGGAGTAACTCCGTGGGCCAAAATGAGTCAAGGAGATTGCTGCAGGCTGAAATGGCGTTTTAGTCATTGAGCGATGTGGTTTTGTGACTTGGGTTGACAGTAAGACACGGTAAAAAGAACAATTTTATATTTGAAGTGTTCCAAGTTTGTATTCACGGAGGTTGAAGAACAGAGGATTTGACAAAGAAAGCTGTGGGCGCATTAAGTTGGCGGCCGCCCTTCTCTCCCCAAGTTTGCATGGACCGTTTTGGGAAATGGACTGCGCAGGCACGAGCACGCTGAGCGGGGCAGTCAGTGACATTTAGCAGAGAGGACTCTGACAGCAGAAATTCAGGTGACAGCAAAGAACCTGAATAATGAAGCAATTAAATAGTTGCACATTTTTGTGGAACTTACGGTAGCAAAGCTCTCCACCAGCCTGGAACACGAATGCTGTGATTTAGTCCTCTGAGAGCAGGGAAATAAAACTGTGAACCTGATGGCCATGTGGTGCTTTGTGCCTGGGATGAAGCTCTGGCTTTTGGGAAGGTCACTTGGCAGTGCCAAGCAATTAAAAGCCTTAAAGCTAATTTTCTGGGTGCTGTATGCTCACAGTTGAGTGAGTTTCCTTCAAAGCTTCCAGCTGAAGACAGGGGATTGGGGAGGATGTATTTGGGCAGCATGGCTTGTGCCAGGACTGATGAAGGTCAGCGACACGAGGTACCAGCATTTTCCTACGGCCGGTGCTGCTGAGACTCAATCTCTGGGCAAAGTTTCACTGTCTCTCTCTTGTTCCTTAACGTGACCCAGAAACAGAAGGAAGAGACCTGTGATATGAGAAACGTAGCTCTGGTACGAGCACAGAAGTACTTTTACCAGCTCTGTACCTTTCCCCGCTGAGCTCTACGGTTTTGGTTTGCTACGCACGTGGTTGCATGCCCTTTCTCCCTGCAGAAGCATCCTCCCCAGGGATGCTTGCTGGAAGCGTTTTGCAGTACCTTAGGGACTCCCTTGGTTTTGAACGTGGTGGTAATTAGCAGATAGCACAGGAAGGTGGGAAGGATTTTCTCTGAGCATGCAGTGCTGACTAATTTACTTGTCCAGATTCTTCTTTGCTACTGCAAAAGAGGGAAAACGGCAAGTATGGTGACACTAGTTTCCATGTAGGTTATTTCCTCTCAGTCTAAAATAAGGAGAATGTGAGGTAGATTTGCATCAGCCAAAAATCCTCCTGAGCAGATCTCCTTTATAAAACATTAAGGGTACAGAAGAAATATGATTTCCCCTTAAAATCAAGTAACTCATCCATTCCAGGCAGAATTTCAAGATAATTCATCTTGGGCAATGCTGATGGAGGTGTGCCCAAAGAAGAGATGACTTGCAGCGTCATCTGCATTGCTGTCTGTCTTAGTGGAGACCCTGAAGAGAAGATCATATTTGTGTCAAGGATGGTTGCCTCCACTTAATAACATGGTGTTTTTCTAAATGATTTCAGTGCTTTTCGTGTTTGCTGCAAATACAGCAATGTTGTTAATGCCAGTCTTGATGAAGGAAGAAGCAGATATTACTCATTTATGCAGGGAAGATTCTCCTTTCCTCCCCTCCCCATCACCAGAAGTAGAAGGTACCACCTGGAAGAGTTTTA